CCTGAGATAATTTAAACAAGCTAATTTGGGTACCAGAAGAAGTCTAATTGAAGCAGCACAGAGCTCAGCCCAGGATAATTTACTTTACTTCGTGGGCAGTATAGGTATATCTAAGCTTCCTTAAACCACAAAGCTATGTGCATTGTGTTTGGGTTTTTTTTCAAACAATAAATTTAATAAATCTCCAGCAGTTTACCAAACAATCTAAAGAACCTCAAACAAGAAAATAATCGATGAAAATCAAAAATGCAATGCACACAGCCTTTTGGATTCTTATGAGTAGCTGCTTAAGTGGTGTGGGGTTTTTTTTTGTCTCATTCTGAATCTTCAGGAGAAAAATATATATCATTGGTAGTGAAGAGGAATCACTGCTTAGCAGCATTATTAAGAAAGTTCAAATGCAAATTTGTAACTGAAACTGATGCATTGATCTTGTCTGTCAAAAAGGGTGTTTTGGTTATGCAAACTATTTAGTTCTTGCCCTTGCTTTAACTGACTGTCAATTTTGATTCCCAGTCCCCAGTATTTTTACAGGTATTTGTACAGTGTCTAGTATGCAATCTGAGTTTGAGCCCTATATGGCTCATTGTCTGTCACTGATGACTCTGAAACAGAGCCATAGTCCAAGGAGCAGTAAGTGGAACCTCTTCTTCATTGTGATCAGAAGCCATATGGAGGGTATTAGACACCCATGCTTCTCCAAGGACAGGTAGGAGTTCATCCCTACCTTTTCTCTCTACTCATAAGGAGCAATATGGGAGATTGTTACACACATCTGGCAGTCCCTGCATGGTAGTTGGCAGCTGGGAGGAAAAGACTAGGCTCTGAAGAGTACTATCTGTAGGACTGAAGAACTCATCTGAATGAACCCCACAGCTCCCCACAGCTTCATGAAAGATGAAATTTTCCAGATCACTCAGTAGTGGACTAAATCACTGCTACAGGGGTGGCTATTTTTGCATCCCTAACCCCCTCAAAAGCAGTGTCCTGGGCTGCTGCCCTGGTTGCCCTCCTCCTTCCAGTTCTGCTACTATCCTCTGAAATAATTGGTAGTTTTACTAAGCACTGGAAAGAGAGTAGAATTAGGCCCACAGTGAGTGCATCTGAAATCCTACAATAGACGAGGAAGTGACTGAAACTTGGAGAAGGAGTCATGGAACCTTCATCTTTGCCTCCTAGTAAAGAGACCAGCAGTAGATGGGCAGTGGATGCTCTAATCTTTCCTGGATTTCATCCTCGTTACTTACTGTGTTAATCAATCCATTCACTTAGAGTGAAGCTACATGTTACGCTTAGACCCTAATCCATCTGTGGTACGTTAAACAGTGTTAAAGTTAAAACATGCTGTGGGCAGTTGCCTGTTAAGAGTTAATAACATTTCTTTCTTGCACAGCTCTGACTCTCCACTAGAGGGCTGGTGAGCAGAGGTGTGGCTAGAAGCCAGGACACCCCGGCTCTATTGCTTTATCCCTGCTCTGGGGGAGTGTGGGAGTAAGGGAGCGGTGCATCCCTGGATGCTGGAGGATTGCAAATTGCTTATTTTATCTCCATGGAGCAGACTAAAGTTACCCTAACATGGGCTAGATAGAATGGCCCAATTAACCCTTGCCTGAAGTGGTGTAACTTTGAGATGCTCAGAGGGCACTTAGATGAGTTAACAAGCTTTAACACATGGATGATCACATTTTAAGTGCCCTTAATATAGTGTGTGTGTGTAATGTGTAACCCTAACCCTTAGCCAGAGCAGAGATGCTTTAAGAAACTGTATGGAGTTCATGCATCGCAGAATCAAGATTTAGCTCAGAATCATTTCAGCTGAAAAAGATCTAGTTTATTCAAGCTTTTTATGGAGAGTCTGCTGCCAAACTTTTAAACCTTTACTTTTGTTTCACCTCATAATGTACATTTATTTAGCAATAAAACATTTAATTCAATGGCAAATAAGACTGAAAGTCTCAAGAAAGAGACAGGCATAACTAAAAGGAGATTGTTTACCATATGCACCAGATTCCTACGTAGACAGCTTGCAGAACTGTATGGGATTTATGTATCCTGTATGACCTCAAAAAGCAGGGTTAAAGTGTCATAAGTATCAGAAACCCTTCAGTAGAAAAGGACACGTTCATTAAGTTTATTAATGCCCTAGACCAAAGTGTTTTCAAATCTTTATCACCTCTTAACATGCATTTCATTTCACTGCATGCATTTATTTAGCTATTACACATTTACTTGATAGCAAACAGGGCTGAAGGTCAAAAGATACCAGGCTTTTTAAAACTGACGTGAAAGCTCATCTGTGCAATACTCACCAGATGTCTGCAGAGATGGCAGAATTTTTCTTTCATTTCTGCATCCAAATTATGGGAGTGCTGTTTCTCTTCCTGCCTCTGCTGAGCTTTGCTGATGGTGGAAGACTGCTTGTGGTGCCAATGGATGGAAGTCACTGGCTGAGCATGAGGGCAGTGCTGGATGAGCTCAGAGGGAGAGGGCACGAAATAGTCATTGTTGCACCTGAAATAAATGTGCACATAAAAGTATCAGAGAATTATATTATGAAACTGTATCCTGTTCCTTTCACACAGGAGGAGGTGGATGAATATTGTCGAGCAATTTCATATGAGGTTTTTAAGGAAATTCCTTTTCTATTAAGATTTACCAGAACATATGAGAAAATGAAGAAGACCGCGTCTCTATTTTTATCCACTTGTACATATTTATTGAACAACAAAGAGTTGATCAGATACCTTGAAAAAAATAGATTTGATGTTGTTTTTACAGATCCATCCCTTGTGGACAGATAATAGCTGAGTATCTTTCTATCCCTTCGGTGTTTTTCTCGTGTGGAATTCCATGTGGTTTAGACTATGAGGCCACTCAGTGTCCAAATCCCCCTTCGTATATCCCAAGGCTATTTACAACAAATACAGACCATATGACATTTACCCAGCGTGTGAAGAATATATTGTTTGGCTTGTCAGAGAATTTCCTCTGCTATTTTTTCTACTCCCCAGAATTTGCAATTCTGGCCTCTGACTATCTTCAACGAGAGGTGACTATGCCAAAGATGTTAAGCAATATATCTGTTTGGCTGATGAGATTAGACTTTGTGCTTGATTATCCCAGGCCACTGATGCCCAATCTTGTTGTCATTGGAGGTATAAACTGTGCTCAAAAGAAATCATTATCTCAGGTTAGTAAAACTTTTATTGTTGTTGCAGTTCCGATCAAATTCTAAGTTCACTAGAGAATTGGCGTACATTATGTTAAAGACTTCTAGTTTTACCAAGAACTTTATCTTGGTATTTTCCATAGTATTTGGGCAGATGATCATAACAAGTTTCAAATGACCTTTCTGTTTAATCAACGAAAACTTTTTACTACTAGTTAGAATCATGGCTGAGATCCTGAGCTTTCAGTATGGCTCTGCTGAAATCGGTTTACACCAATGGAGGAGCTAGACTAAGCCCCTCACTTTGAAACTTCCCAGAAAGGACTTCAGTTATCAGCCAGAGAACTAAACTGACTAGCTAGAGATAGACTGAAACACATGTCAGGGACTGGTCCCTGAGCCAGCACTTACATATGAGATAGATCATTTGGATCTCTGCTAGGATGTCACCCAAGCATGCTCCTCTGTAGCTTCTTCTTTCGCATCAGGCTCTTGCTACTACACGTTTCACAATGCTCTCTTACTGGCTGTTGGCAGGAAGAGAATCTATTTTATACCTGATAGTGCACCAAGGAAACAAACAGAATCCTCTGAAATCCTCCAAAATGTCTGTTTATTTTATTTATAAATCTTTTCCTCCTTGTCTTTACTGAAACAGTAATGCTTTCAACCCCATTCCAACCGTGTGTGAATACTTATTGTTTTAAATTTAATTCTTAGGAATTTGTAGCAAATCCTACTGCAACATCTAATCAAAGTAACTTATTCATTTAAACCTCCTAATTCTAACTAGATACTGCTAGTGCTCAACTGCTGATTAATAATTATTTTTTATGATTTCTAACCACTAGTTAATCTTGTCATTGTATGAACATAAGTCAATATTTCTTTCAGAACCAGTAAATATTCATGGCCATAGTTCTCCCAGAAAATCAGTGTTCAGTCCTCATGTAGCAGAAGGTACCTTTTTTCCCCTGGTGCTCAGCAGTGGCTCCCTTCTTGTAGTCTCAGCGCCCAGTCATTTCAGGATTTCTCTTTTATCTGGCCTTCTGCAGCCTTGCTGAAGGGAAGAAACTACTGGCGATGCCTGTGCACAGAGGTCATTGGCTCAGCATGTGTCATGTAGTAAAGAAACTCAGCCTGAAGGGACTTGGAATAGTAGTTACTGTGCCAGAAACCAATTTGATCATGAGAATATCATCAGATTACACAGTAAAAACCTAGCTAGTAAAATACACACACGAAGATTTGGATGCACACTTCCAGTTATGAGGCCATCGTATATTTTTGATGATTGGCCTTTCTGAAGAGACTTATAGCAGAGTACACTAAAAGTTACTTACCTTTCTTGCTATAATATTTGCTACCTGCAAACACTTTTTGCAAAATGAACAATTGGTGAAATACATTGCAGAGACTCATTTTGTTACCTTGAGGATCAATAGTTTCTGAACATCTTGCCATCCCCTCTGTCTTTTTGTGAGGGATTCCTTGCAGTTGGGAATATTACAAGACTATTCAGTACCCAGATCCTCCTTCTTACATCCCTGGACTCTTTACATCCTACACAGACCAAATATTATTATCTTGGTAAAAACATGGTTTTCAGATAATTGGAGTTCTTGATTTGCAAATTTGCTTATTCTCAGTTTAATAATCTAGCCTCTGAGTTTCTCCAAAGAGAATCAACAGTCCTAGAGGTTTCAAGTCATTCCTCTATTTGGCTGATGAGATATCACTTTGTTTTTTGGGTATCCCAGGCTAGTGATGCCCAACATGGTCTCCACTGGAAGCATCAATTATGGTTAGAAGAAAAGCATGGTCTCAGGTAATTTATTTTGACAGGGAAAAATTGATTTATTTTAAACAACCGAGCATGTTTTTCATGTTAATTATATAGTTTATGCTATTGGGAAAAAACCATATACAGCTTGCATTTTTAAAAGTAACTTCTTTTGGGTCTTTGATTTTTGCACGTCTAATCTGTGACACTTAAAGAGGCCTGATTTTCAGAAAATATTTATCACCCACCCTCTAAAAAGCTGACTAATTTGAGCACATTCAGGATTGACACTCCAGAATTAAAGCACCCAAACCACTTGTCACTTTTCTAAATCAAAACCATGTATCTGCTATATGAAGACTAATTAAAAAGGTTCCCTAAAATAGCTTTCGTTCTGATTGAAAATGCTATCAAGAGAGTTTAAGATGTTTATGGAATAGTGATGACTAATACTTTAAAAACATAGTGGTCTTAACCTTGACTGATTTTTTTGTGATATTTTCAGAATATGCCTGGCATATTTTCAGGGGGCTGATGCCCAGAGTGTCCATGAATTTCAGTGGGAGTTGCAGATTCTCAGTATCTCTGTGACTGTTTATAATCCCATAATCCATGGTAACTTGTTTAAAAGATATTATAGTGATTTATCTTTGCTCACAAGCTTAATGCTGAGGCATGTGCTTTGCTAGTTCATACATTTTTTATTCTTTTTCTCAAGGAGATCAGCGTGATTGATTAACTTGCTGGATGATAGGCTGTCATTCTTGATTCTCCTTTTTAAAACCTACTTGGACTAAAAATCCCTTCTTTCATTTCTTTCACCAGTTAAAGACTGCCTTTTCCCCATGCTCAAAGAATGTAAAGAGTTTATTTGATTTATTAGATTTATGCATGTGATAATTTTTGGGTAATATATGTGTTTGTGGAAGTTAGGGAATTCTGACACCAATGAAGACTATATAAAAACCTAGATAGATACAGTATATTCCTGATTTTAGCTGAGAAAGACGTTGTGGCATTTTTCTTTTTGATTTAGCAAAACAGGTTGCAATGTCCAGAATGTTGGAATCCAGTTAGTCGTTAATGACACTAATTATCCAAGTTCATAACACTATGATTACTTACACAACATGTGTCCTTTGAACAGACTTGTCTAACCTTGTCCAACCGTTGCTTTGCTTTTTCCTGATAGTTAGATATTTTTGATGTACCTTGAGAGAAACATAAAAGAGCTGAATTTCATCATGCCACATAATGAACTTTAATCTGCTGAGTCACTCTACACAAGTGAAATAGTTGGAATTGTTGTTACTATATTACTTAAACTCCATTGACACCATTTTTAAACTCTAGAGTAAGGAAATTTATCAATTGATTATTATTTGACCTTCTCCCTTTTATTCCAGTTTTTTACATTATTAAGTAAATTAATCCAAGTAAAAATGTAACTAGAATGTTTATAGAGATTAGACATTTATAGAGATTTAGAGATTATGGAGATATTACTAGAATCCTAGCAATTTCTGATATAAAACACAGCTACTGCCTTTTCTTCCTTAAACTTCTATTCCCTTCTGGTCCTTCAGGATCTGTTCATTGTACCCACCAGAAAAGTAGTTTTGCTTAGAAAAAAACATTTGGCAGAGAATTGTTTTAGTTTGTGCCTTTCTGACCAAGAACCCAAGTGGAAATGAAGTCTGATAACTTCTTCATTTCCTGAGGTGCTGAGGGCTTTCACTGTCTGCAGAGTAGGCCATGCAAATTGATCCAATACGAACTACAAGCTATAGCTCTTCTGATCTTATTAACATAAGACATTTTAAATATAGAGAGCAAATCATGGTAAAGGAAGCTTTGTAGAACATTTCCAGGAGTAAACTGGATAAAGTAACCAAAGCCTGGTACCTTTGGTTTAGTTACTTATTTCTTACATAAAATCTCTTCCTGCTCTCCTTCCTCCCCATCTGTCTCAAAAGTCAGTTCCTTCAGAGCCCTGTTCCACGTGGGGTTTATAATTAATATTAGGGTAGAAGTTATGTTAACATTTTCCGAAAATGCTATTTTATCAGGTGCATTGCCTTGGGAAATCAAAGAGTCTTTCTTCTCCATGCAATGATTATTCACCTCTGAAATGTTCAGCCAACATTTTCATGCCTAGTTCTAGATGGGCTGCCAAACTTTCTGTCAGGATTTTGAAGCTCATTTTTATCTTTCCAGTTTCTTATCCATTCTCACAAGTCAAACAGGCTGAATATCAGCTAGGATGTCCATTTTTCTTGCTTACTAAAGTTTCCTATGCTTGTTAAAGTTTGTTGCAACAACCAGGTTACTCTGTCTTGAGTCATATAAGTACTTCAGTTTTCTATGTATGTGTCCTCTGATATTGTCTCCTTCAAAACCTACTCCTGGGAGGGCAGCACCACTTAGAAATGACTTTAGTAGCTTGCTCTGTACATTTTCCCCTTTTTGGATGTAGTGGTCCTACTCTGCCCTACTATAGACATGATAGCAATTATCATGAGTAGTGCTGGTGAAATAAGCTACAAGTACGTAGGACAGGAAACTGTGCTATAATCATCTTCAAATAAACCTGAGCCACAGCTATCCTGCTATGATATTCCATGACCCTGTTGAGCAAAGACCTCTGTGTACTGTGCCATTTTACACAGACGAAATGTTGCTGGAGGAGCTTGGTTAATAAGTTATTTAAACTCCAAGACACCAATGTTAACAGTTCCCTAATATTTAATATTCCCAACTTTTATCACAGTTTATACCTTAACACATGAACTCCAGCAACCTTTCTTCAGAGTACTGCATTGAGAACAATCAGGCATAAAGGTCTGCTTTTTGACCTTTGCTCCTTTGCTTTTAAATGCTGTTCAGAAGGTTTATTAGAGAGCTGGTTCTTACCCCTGCTAGAATGGCAGCATCCATGTCAGGGTTTCAAATAACTGCTGGCAATAGCAGAACTGAAGAGGGAGAGGAAGGGGCTGGGGGGCCGGGCATCCAGGGCCGGGGGCCTGACCACTGCTTTTGTTGAGGGGGTGAGGAGCACAAAAATAGCCATAACCATAATGGTGGCCAACTGCAGTGCTGGAATTGATGCTGCAGCAACTGGTGCATTGTGCTGCTATATCTCTGACAGCTGGTATAGGTCTTTCTGTCTCTATCTCTTTATGGAGGTTTGGTGAAGGCAGGAAGTTGATGGTTGTATCTCAGGAAGGACATCACTGGCTTAGCATGTATCTGATTGTGGTGGGCAAAGGAAACATGATGCCATGGGAACACTGGATTATTATACCATACGAATGCATCCAGTGCCTTACACGCAGGAAACTTTGGATAAATATTACATTCCAAAGTGCAGTGTGGTTTTTTTTTTAACCCTCTTCTTATAGAATAAAATTGTGATGATACATGGAAACATGTCAGAAGTTATTACTATATTTTTTCGCCTGTTGGAAATTGTTGTATAACAAAGAGTTAAACAGTTACTTTGAGGAAAACAAGTTTGATGCCATCCTAATGGATCCTGTGCTACCCTGTGGACCAATAATAGCTGAATATCTGCACCCCCCCCTCCCCCTTCTGTTTACTTCATGCGTGGACTTCCATGTGGTTTAGACTTCAAAGCTACTCAGTGTCCAAATCCTCTTTCTTATGTCTCTGCAAACCTTTCATACCCAATTCAGGCCACGTTATTTACCCAGTGTGTGAAGCCTGCAAAGTTGTTATTTTTTCACCTGTTATATTTGGAATATAGGGAGCTAGCTTCTGAGTTTCTTCAAAGACAGGTAACAGTCCTTTTCAACAACACTGCCCTTTGGCTGATATAGCTGTGTGTATCCCAGACCACTCAGGCCAAATACGGTCTTCATTTGAAGCATAAACTTTGAACAGAAGAAACTGTTGTGCGGGCCGGCTCCCGATCTCGGGGGCGAGCCGGGCCCATCTTTGTGCACGCAGGCTGTGGCCAGCAGCCCGGGCACGTGGGGCTGGAGAAAACCACGGCGCGGTATGGTACGCTCGAGCTAGAATCAGTCACAGAGGCGTAATGGTTGATTGAAAAGATTATTTACTTACACCCAAGGTGGTCGCGGTGTAGGCTGGTCAGCTTTCCAGGCACAGCTCCACTTGAGTTCTCGGTGGAGGACTCTGATAGACTCGGTTCCTGACCCCGGAGTGGTTTAAGCTCCGCGGGTTTAACAATTCTCTCTCACGGAGCAGGTGAATCTCCGTGGGTTTCACTCGGTTCCTAGGTCCCCTGGAGTTGTTAAGACTCCGTGGGTTCGACAATTGGGTCCATAGGACAAGGATATGTCTAGGATTGCGGTCGGCGATGGGGAGAGGCTAGAGGTTATGTGCCTCGGAGTTGTTAAGGCTCCGAGGGTTCGGAAATTAGGTCCCCCGGAGTTGTTGAAGCTCCGTGGGTTCGACAAATTAAACCTCTGTTGCCCTCTTAAGGAAAAAGCTGGGTTCGAAGGGATCAGCAGCGCTTAGAAATCCTCACGCTCCTTTCCCAAACTCCACATGCTTTCTCTCTCTCCGACTTGGGCGGAAACTATCCAAGCCTTTTGTACGGCTAGCAAGCCAATAGCTAGCCGCCACGTGTGCCTATATTAAGATCGGCCAATAATGTAGCAGAAATCTCAATACAAATGGTGGGAACTTCTTTGTACCGTGCATCACTATAATGCAAAAGAAATGCATGATGCAAAGAAGGCTACAAAACTGGCGGGAAAAACTCCTGCACACGGGTTCTTAATTGCAACAGAACACTCCACCGTGCAAAAGAGCTGCAATTTAGCGGGAACGCAATTTAGCGATGCCGAAGCGCACACAAACAAGAAAACCACAACTTTGGGTTGTGACAACTGTTATCAGACCTTGGTATGTTTAATCTTAAGAAAATATGGTATGGTTTCCCAGGGGTTATTTAAAGAATTTTTCACTTTTTTTTGCACTTTAGATCGTGCAGATCCTAATATTGGATCAGATCCTTAGCTTCTGTACACTGATCTAGTTCCATTGAGTGTGTTCACATACATCTTAAGTAATGACTCAAAAAGTATATCTGCCATGTTTTCAAAAAAAAACCCAAACCAACAAAAAAACAATAAAGGCACTTCTATCCAAACATTAAAACTATTTTGGCCCTTCCATACCAAGCTTGGGATCCACAAAAAATTAAAGCGCATGAACCAGTGAGAGTTTAAGTAACCTTCTCCTTGGGGAGCAAGCTTTGGAGCTTTCTGGAGAGGGCAAGGATTTGTATCCCCAAATTGTATGACCCTATGGACTTTGGGAGGGACACAATACCCCTGCAGATCTAAGGCCTCAGAAAAAGTCCATCCTGGCAGCATTCTCATGATGAGACACACTGCCAACGTGTGTGTGTGTGTGTGTGTGGGGGGGGGGTGTCAACGCACACACACATGCTAAGTACACATTACCTGTGCTCCTTTTCTAAGGGGAGAGGACAGTGCAGAAAATGTTTTGTTGCTGCTTTCCGAACTACATCTGAGAAATGCAATAAAGCCCTGATAAAGCCCTGTCAGGGGTGCTTTACTGCACCTATTTAATAGAATTTCTATGGAGAAATTTGGGAAAGAATTGTACCTAGGCACTGTTTGGTCAACATTATCATGAACACTGTGAAGAATTGAATGGTTTTGAGAATTCTAAAGACATTTCAGGGAGGGGAAATCTTTTTTTTTTTAAAGAAGTCTGTATTTTTTATTTTATTGACTATACTGGCGTGTCCAGTGCCAGTGAAGAGCAGAAAGTATTGCTCTATACTCAGTTCAAGCCAGGAGTAATCAAGAGCAACGTGAACTTCAAACAACCATGACCCAGAGCTATGAACTTCTGTGACCCATCTCCACTAAAGAACTAAGGT